CACCCCCAACAAGGCCACACCTCCTAATAGTGCCACTCTCTATGGACCAAGTGTTCAAACACATGAGTCTATGGGGGCGGAGGTGATCCCAATTCAAACCACCACATATAGCAAGACCAAGAAAAGGAGAACACTCCTCAGACAGAAAAAAAAAAATTATGCCCTACTGGAAGAGAAAATGGGGAATAAAGATTACGTTGAGGGGTTGGGGAGATGGCTCAGTGGTTAAGAGCACTGACTGTTCTGCCAGAGGACCCGGGTTCAATTCCCAGCACCCACATGGCAGCTCACAACTGTCTGTAATTCTAGTTCCAGGAGACCCAACACTCATGGCAAAACACCAATGTGCATAAAATAGAAATAAATAATTTTTTTTTAAAAAAAGATTACCTTGATTTGAGCGGTTACAACAGAGCATCATAGCCAGGTAGCTCAAAAAGCAACTAGTATTTACCACACTTCTGAAGACCGAGGAATCTGAGAGCAAGGTACACAAGATTTACTGTCTTTTTAAGGCATTCCTACGGGTTCATACACAGCAGTTTCTCACTGGGTCTTCACATGACCAAAAGAGCATTACACATAGGGTCTTTTTTACAAGGACGTCGTTAATCCCCTTCATGAGGGGGATCATGACTTTTATGATCCAATCGCTTTCCAGAAGCCCCTACAGTTAAGACAAGGGCATTAGGGTTAGGAATTCAATACATAAGGCTGGAAGAGACACAACCGTCCAGCCATAACAAATACACACAATGGAATTGTAGCTGAGTTAGAAAGCTGTCCAAGGTCAGGTTCAAAACAAACACACACAATGGGATTGTAGCTGAGTTAGAAAACTGTCCAAGGTCATCGGTATTGACCAGCATTGAAGTCATGGAATCACTCTGGAATCAGAGAAGTCTTTCCGTTCTCTTCCATTTGTCCTGTTTTTCGGGGGAGTATTGCTTTATTGGGACAGGGTTTCACCAAGTAGCCCAGGCTGGCCTCCAACGTACAATCCTGCTTCCATCTCCAGGAATGAGGGATCTACTGATGTGCACCGCCACATCCTGCTTCCTCTCTGACTTTCATAGAAACATCAGAAAGGATGCACTTGGGCATCTCTACCATGGTGAAGGGTCTGTAACTCGGCAGAAAATCCAGCAAAAATCAGAATGAAGGGGTCAGGTGGAGAGGCAGCACTGAGTGGGTTGCCTGCAGCTACATGGAGGCTCCTAGCTTTTAACATGAGTTCACTGGAGCCAGGCACATGATGAATGCCTGCCGTCCTAGCCACCAAAGAAGCCGAAGGCACTGAGAAGAAAAAAACTTATGTTACACACTGAGGTCGGGACCACAGCCAGGACACAAAGACAGATCCTTCACCATTTCGCTCAGTAGCAGCCCCAAAGAATGTTTCAAAGTAAACGTTAGTTTGAGTTGAATCTTTGATTTAATGCAATCACTTTTATACTTGACATTGATATCTACAATATACAAAAGGTCCTGGATCCTCAGCTCTGCCTCTTGGCAGTCATGTGACATCAGACCTCTGACTTCCGGCTATGCTTCTGTTTTGAAATCTGTATGATGAGGACAATGATATTTGTTGGGAGGGCTACGTGGATGAATAAAGTCCATGCTGGGCCGAGTCCCACATCACACACATAAGTGAGGACTCAGTAAGTGCCTGCTAATGCGGTTGTTATGGTTACTGTTAACATTTCACTTGAGCTGCGTAACAACCTGCAAGTTAGGTGCGATTTATTATCCTCATTTCTCAGGTCGAGAAACTGAGACGCATGGAGGGTAAGAACTAGCCTAAGGAACAAGTCAGAAAATGGAAATGCCTGACTCGGGAAGTCTTCCAGCTTTCCAGCCTCCGTCCCTGCTCCCAGCGCTCACCCCACCTCTTCTGTGTTGCCCAGGAAGTGCAGTTCTAGGAGTCGGATCATGGTTCACATAGGGCTACAGGCAATTTTGGATATATTAGAGGTCTAAGCCCAAGGTATATTAAGAAAGTCTTAAAAGAGAGAATAGGTCCTCTTTGGGGATAAGTGAGTGGTACCTCACCACTAAGCAACTGTCGTAAACTAAAAGAGGTGGCATTTCCCTGTCACACAGTTTCAGGAAAAGCATGTTTGAAGTCTGGTTGCTCCAAAGCTCAGGATCTTGGAGGGCTAAGAGGGAAACAGAGGCACGTCTGCAAACACGGTCTGTCTACTCAAACGTCACTGTAAAACCAACTGCATCCCACTCTGCAGGGCAGGTTTGTGTGTGTTCCCTTTCTCCAGCTTATTCCTCTGGTTTTCTGCAATTCTGCATTTTAACCGCTAAAGGTTTTATGCGTACATCCTGCCCTGGTAAAGAGTATGCTTAGTCCTGGCTAAGACAAGGGTTGCTCAGGGGTAAAGCCAGCTCATCAAGATCTTAGCCTGTCCCTTCAAGCTTCGGTTTCTTCAGTGCCCTTGCAATGATCGTGAGGGTTTGGAATTTGAGATGACTTGTTTTGAAGTCAACTTTCCCTCGCATTCCTTATATAGAGGCCTAACCAATACTTTATTCTTTGTCAGAACATGAAAGAAAAGTTTCTTTGTGTCCTGTAGCAGTGGGCTATTTAAAGAAACAGACTTTGATAATGCTACTTGCAGAGTTTCATCTCATTCCAGATTAATCAGCAGACTGTTGCTGCATACCCACTAAATGCCAGCCTTTGTGCCCTGGCCACTGTTAAACAATGGGCAAGAGACTCCCCATGCAGTTTACAACAGTGGATCACTGGGAGCTGCACATTCACAGCTTCTGCTAACAGCCAAAAACACAGAGACACCAACCACTTTGAATTGTCCCATTGCCCTCAGGACATAACTTGGCCCACCATGGCATTTAGTATTCTGAGTTTAACTTAATCACACGCTATAAAATGCAATTCTCTAATTGGATGATGTTCTGATTATGCCCACAAGGTGGCGATCTTGCTTACAGTTCGCCCACACTGAACCCAATGCAGGGAAGGAAACAAAACAAAACAACCACCACCCAGAAGTTAAATCAAAAGACAAAAATGAAATTCAATGAATTCGGTACTTATTTCATGCAATATACTATATTAGCTGGTAAATGAAATAAAAATGTGATAAGAGACAGTCTCTGCTCCCTAGGGAAAGAGGAGGAGAGAGCTTGCTCAAGGCAAGAAAAAAAGTACTTTTTAATGAATTAATATATTGTGCTGGATCTATATGGAAGGCATTGTAATTCTTTTATAAGATAAGAGCTATAAAAAGTCCTGTTGTCAGGAACACATTCAACAAAGATCCTACACTTAAGCCAGCATACATCAATGGGAAAGAAAACCACGAAGGTGTATGTCTTGGGTCAGTGCTGGGTCAGTGATGTCCTGGGAGGTTGATGTCTCTACTCTGTCACAAGCATGACATGGTCTACCCTGTAACTCCAGAATAAATCTGCTCAGTGCAGCAGCTGTAACACAGATGAAACCTCTCATGTGCACTGAGTGATGTGAAAGGAGCCGATTTTAAACCCTACTTGTGGGACTGGGGTTGAAACTCAGTGGCAGTGAACCTGTCTAGCATGCACAGGTCTTAGGACGGTTACCAACGCTGGCTCTCAGGAGGACTGCACCCTCACAGCCCCAGTCTTGGGACTATGAATCTCCAATTTGGAATCTAGGATACAAGAAGGGAAAGGAGAGAGCCAGTTTGTTTCCAAGGGACTTCCTGGTAGATTGAACACAGGATGATCTGGACAAAGATGCATTGGTTTTTAGGGTGGGTTTTTTGTTTTGTGGTGTTTTTCCTCCACGGTGCCCCCACCACGCCACTACTCCTTTTTCCATTGCACTAAACTAGTAAATCTAAATGTTATTTATTTTCCTTTGTTTGGGTGAAATTTATAATTGGAAATAAAGCGACCAACCAAACGATAACTTAAAAGTAAATTGAGAATGTTGGAAATGAATATTTGTATCGGTCTATATGTCGCTATTTCTATATATTGAACTTTCTTTAAAAAGGGAAAAACCAAGTGGCAAGTGACCAGAAGACCTGACTTGGATGTTCAATTTGCACAGCAAGATTTAATTCCCAGTATCCCTAGAAAAAGTCAGAGGCCAATCTCATTGCTCTTAAGCCTACAGAGACCCATACTGAGGAGCTTGCTCTGGAAAGGGGTTGTAAGTTCAAAGTCATTGGCTACAGATGGTTCCTCTGCCGGCTGGAGTCATATCCTCTAGGGCTCGAGACATTCCCGGGAATTTACATAAGGCAGTATGAATCACAGCAAGTGAGGTTGCAAAAACACCCGCCCTGATCCTTGCCCTGCAGCGCCTGGATTGCGGTGGGGGTCTGTCTGAAGTTTCCAGGAGAGCAGACACAGTCCAAGCAAGGGCACTAGGCGATCGCCCAACTCCCACGAGAGTTCTGGACGCGCGGCTACCTCCAGGCCCTAGATTTGGTGTCTGCCTCTCCCGCTCCGACGCCCCCGCACGGACGCCACCAGCCCAGCTTCCTCCCGGCCCCGAGGTCCTGGACCTAGTGTGGGGCCACCTCTCGCTCCTGGAAGGATCGGTTGCCGCTTTAAGGGAAAGAGGAGGGGA